GCTCGTCTCGGAGACGTGCCCGAGGCAAGGGGGAACCCCGACACGCTCCAGTTTCTTTTCTTCCAAACTGGAGCAAGAAAGAGAAGTTTCTCAACGACCGCAAAGCACATTTCCCCTATTTTGTCTCCGCGAAATCAAATTTAGAAAACATTGCCGCTGTCTGGCCCAAGATCTTCTTTCAGGCTTTCTCATTTTGGCTGCCCGTCAAATATTAAAACCGAAGACGGGGCGGGCTAAACCAGGCCTCTGCATTCAAAGGCTGACGACGACTTTCCACCTTCCCTGAAATCTGTCCTCGTCACGGCCCTTGCTAAATCACTTTCCTTGGTTTTGTTGCACTTCCCACCGGCCCCAACCCCGTGCCGAAGGGCCAGCATCGTTCGCCTGGTCCTTCGGGTAACGGCAGCGGCCCCCCGTTCTTTTATTAATGTATAGAAAATGCATTAAAAAAAGGAACTATACATAGCCTAAGAGCGGTCAGGACTAAAAATACTAGTTAACACTGGTTAACAAGCGTCGATCCCATTCTCCAAGCTACGTTTTTCATTACAGGGTAGGGAGGGTTGTTTAATATATTATTTATTTTATACTATTTATTTTATTTATTTATGCGGGTATTTAATTTTACTCTCCCCCCCTCCCCCAATTTGATTGCACTGATTTCTGCTTTAGCATGTCGGACTCTGTCCAAGGGACTTTGTCGCCGCCGTTCTTCCTCTTCATCTCCTTTGGTCGCTAAAGCGGGAAGGTCTCCCATCCTCAGGGACAAGCAGGGCTTTGAGTTAGAAAGCAGAGGTGGCTTTGAAGGCCACGGGGGTCCAGGGCACCTGCCGTGCTCTGCTGGGGGAAAGACCGGGTGCGCTGCTCCCTGATGACGCTATGGGATTTGACATCTTGCGCGCGGCAGTGGGGTTTGGGTGGTGGCTTCTGGTTCGTTTTTGGGCCTCGGTCCAACCTGGGGGCCTGGCCTTGCAAGCTGGACGGGCAGAAGAGCCACCAGGGAGTTCAGGGATGATTCGAGTGCAGGAGCTAAGGTCTCTGGAGATGAACATGGTGCAGGGTCCAGGTTTGTGTCCGGTGACTTTCTGGCCTCTTGCCAAGCTTTCATTCCATTTCACAGCTAAGCTAATGAGGGCCAAAGACAAGTTTGTTCTGGCTGGGGAATTTGCTCAGAAAAAGGGCTTGCCCAACCAGTGATGGAGTGTACAAAGGGACTGTATTTAATCACTTGGCCACTCTGCAGCATCATTAGTAAGCACAAACATGCTTGAAATCAGCGGCAGGAGCTTTGTCAAAAAAAAAAAAAATGTCATCAGCCAATGCTGAAAAATAAATTTCTGAAAAATTTCATCTTGTTTATGGGCCGGGTGAATGAGACGCAGTGACCAAAATGACTAGGTTGTCATTGCTAATTGTTTACCTAGGCTTTGCTTAGGTTATCACCATGAGAACAAAACCACAACGTGCAGACATCTTCCCTTAAAGCGTTTTAGAAACTGCCTTTCACCGAGGTAACGAATGCAACACCCTGGTGCTCTCGGTGTGAGATCAGGGACGCAGTGACAGTGTTGTCCAGGTAAAGGTGGCCCCTGACTCCTCAGGAAGGTGATGCTGGACACTTATGGCAGGAAGCAGAGCAAGGAGAACTGGAAGAAGAATCAGGAAGGAGCTGGGGCTTCTTGCTAGTGACTTCCCTGTTTGTTCATCTGAAAGGACCTGTCTCAGCCTATAATAAGACTGGAAGGTCAGATTTTTATCTCCAAGTGTGTCTTTCTGCCTCAATGATGGAGTTCTGGCAGCTGGCCCTCTCATCCCAGCTACACGACTTATAAAAGGGATGAGAGACGTCAGCAGGGAGGGAGGAACATATGACAGGAAACCTGTTTAGAGAATAATCAGCCTTTTTTGAAGATCTTCTTTTGAACCTCCTGGAAAAGCAAGGCTGAAAGAAAGCTCCTTCTGGGTTCTGATATCGATATTTGAGATTGTGATTTGGTCGAGCACATTTTTTGATTTTTCTGTTTGTTTTGTACTTAGGAAACGAGAGAGGGGTTTCTTGCTCTATGCTTGACAGTCAATGCTGAGTTCCCATATTTCCACTGGGTAGATAAGCAAACCACATTGCTCACCCATGCTGAACCACTTTCTAAAACAGGAAATAAATACCATCCACTGTCAGTCTCTGGTCCTAGTTATAACCTCTGGACTACAGTACTTTTGTTAGCACAATTCTTACCTATAAGCTCGTGGTCGTATTGGGAAAATGTTACGGTGCAGATCTACGAGGAGGCTCCTTAGGTTTTGATCAGTTCTGCCTGTTGCTTCCTATTGGCTTTTGGGGCCTAAAATGAGGCAGGCTGCTCAGCAAGCGTGAGATGCTACCCTCTGTGACACTGGCCTTATCCTATGAGAGATCCCATCTTCTTCATCCTCTTTGACCCATTCCTCAAGCAGATGACTTGCTTGGTGCCTGATTTGACACCGATGGGATGTCAGAAGAGATGCCTCTCTCATATGTGAGGTGCTGCCATTGAGCTACAGCATCCTTCCTGCAGGTCAGACTGTCAGGTCAGACCGTCCGTGTCAGCTTGTAAGCTGACCACTCGAAGGGTTTGACCCCGTATCTAATCCTGGCCTCTGGGTTAGCTACATTTTTGTGTGCCAGGACATGGCATGGATAAGGAGGCAGCGTTTCCTGCTTAATGTCCCTCAGCTCCACAGCAGTGGTGAGCAACATCAGAAAATCTAGGAGCATGACTACGAAAGAGACACTGGCCTGAGTTATAAGCTACTGCAAAGATGCCTTTATGTTGCCTTCTAGAAATGCTTCTTAAGACAAAGCAGCTTCAGTGTGATAAAATTGAAAAGCAGTGTTTTGCATTTGTAATGCTCCCTTGGTTGTGAACCCAGATGCGAGCTGCATTGTACTCGCACATAAGAATCAGAAGTGGGGGCAAGTCCTTTCTCCTAGACTAGGCCAACTACAATGTACAACATTGTTCAGAGCCCTCAGCAGAGAGGACTACATCCAGTGTGATGTTTGTTTGTGATAAGTGGAAGTGGTGCCAATGACAACAGAGCACAGAGGGAGCTCGCCAAAGGGTCTGTCTTCTTTAAGAAAGGAGAAGTAAAGGACAGGAAGAGCAAACTGATCGGTTCTTTCCAGGGTCTCAAAGTGCTGTACAAATCTTAACGGACTAGGCCTTCCTTCAAGGAAGGGAAAGAGGTGATTTCCTATTAGAGAGGTGATGATACCAAGGCACTGAGAATTTGTGTCCCTCTTGCGATCGCAGCAAAGAAGGATGGTGTAGGAGCAGGAAGGGAATGGGCATTTCTCAGCTTGCACTTCTCTTCCCTCAACTGCATCATCACCATTTCCCCCGCACGCACAGAGGTCCGTGAGCGTGGCCCCGGGCCATGCCGATGACTGCCATGTACTCTGCTGGCCTCTGGCTGGACTGTAGCCATCTGGTAACTCCTTTGGTTGCTGGTCTTTCTCTGACGCTCTTTGGTTTGGGACCAGCTACCTCTGTGGGAGACAATGTGGAGGCATATAAAAATAGCAGAAGGATTGAATCCTAATTAGACTTATAGACTGCAGGAAGTGTTTTTTCTCCCTAGTCGTGTGATTTGTCTTCTTTCCACTCCCTCAAGCTAAACATAACCCAGATAAATATCATGCACCATAAGTGTGATGAGCTCAGCTCACAGAGGAGAGGAGTGAACGATGCAGCTTTCAACCGCTCCTGGCTGGTAGAACAGCTTTTTGCCTACGCTGCGTGCTCCTCTACACCCCATCTGCAAGAGGACGACTTTAGCTGCGGTGGACTGTGTGCTGGTGTGGTTAATGTATAAACTGTGAGCTCTCAGAATTTGTTTGCATGTGCAGATGTTCTCCGTGCCCTCCTGGTGAGATCTACAATAGTAAAAACTCTGTAGGTGATGCCTTACGTTCCCATCCTCTCTTTGTCTGCGCCTATATAGTGCCTACGCTTAGGGAGAGGGATAACCAGGCTGTGTGCCTTTGGCCAAAGGGAAAGATGGGCTTCCCACCTGCTGGAAGAGTTGGTGTTTGTGGGGTGATGGGAAGCTCAGGACCTACCGACTGAGAGGAGAGAGGGAGGCAGGAAGAGGATTGGTGTCTCTGGCCACTCTTGTAGGGGTGGAAACAGCTGCATCAAGATCCTGAGGGCGAAGGTTTCTGCCATGTGGTCTGAGAGTCTGACAGGTCCTAGGCTGCAGGGAGGTGACCCGTCCAAAGAGAGGGTCTGCCCTGCACCGTGGCCAGGCCTGTCCCAACCAGGGCCACTGGTGAACAGGGTCCCCTCTGGGAACGAAGGAGGGATGTCACAGCAGAGATGGTGGTGGTAGGGCAAATGAAATGCTTCTGACAGGACTTGCTGGGGACTTCTAAGTCTTTTAAAAAAATATCAAAAATCTGTCTGTCTCTTTCTGTCTTTCTTTTCATGTTAAGGGCAAGAGTTTTGGGGTAGGGAGACTGGAAATTTGGTTTTTCTCTGGGACTGATGCAAAGCAATGAGGTCTTTCCTTTCCCATAGCCTTTACTTGTGCCGCGGTTCCCTCCAGGACTCGTGAGGGGCGGGTTGCTATCTCAGAGGAGCAGTATTTTTGTATCCCTTTTCATATTATAAAATACAAACAAATGACAGAAACGGTCAGGTGGTGGGAGGTGGGAGAGGGGTCCTGCTGGCTCAGAGCTGTAGGGACCGTCGCTTTCTCCCAGAGATGTTACGGTGGTTGTAGGGTCGCATCTTCATTTCCACAAAGGGTATGGAGAACTCGTGGCCTTTCCAATGGTACCAGTTAATCCCCTGGCAGGAGGGAGAGAAAGGTACAGGGTGAAGAAAGACCCTAATACGAAACAAGAGTGGGAGAGGTAGGAAACAAGCTTGAACTCCACAGAGGTGCCAAAAGGAAGAAAAGAATTTGTTACGCTAGGGGCAAGAAACTCTTACGCTGCTCTGGCTTGTTTGGTCATTCCCACCTCTCAAAGGCTCCTGATCAAATTTGATATATAAATATATATATATACTTTTAATGTGACTTAACAAGCTGCAGTGGTAAATGAACATGACAGCCAATATGAGGTACAAAGCATCAACCCAAATGGCTCAAAGGTGCCTCCTTCACCTGATGTGGGATAACACCTGAAGTGCTCCTGACTCCAGAGCATTGACCACAGCTGCAGCCCCAGCCTATGTTTGCTCTCGTCTGTGGAGGGAGGCGGCACGACTTCTGCCTCTTAAAAGAAAATGCAGTGAACGGAGTCTGGCAGGCTACAAGAAAGTGGGGAAGGGACCAAGAACGCAGGGTGGTGAGTCGCACCGTTACAAGAAATGCTATACGATTTCAGCCCAGCTCTGCCCTTACCTGACTGTGCCGGGACTCGCCGTACTTGCCATTGAGGTTGGTCCGGTGGCAGTTCTTGTACCACCAGGCCCCTTTGTATGACATGGCGCAGTTGGTCACAGCGACATCGTTGTCCCTGTCCTTGGTGGAGAAAGGGCGGCCTTGGTGGTAGGTGAGGGAATCCCCTGCAGAAAGAGGTGCCGTTAAGGGTGACTGACGGACAAGGTTGCTCTTGGGTTGTGCACCTTGGTGCTCAAGCGGTCTGGCCTTTTCACTAGGAAATTACGACACATTATTCAGTCTGGTAGCCTGTCGATCACCAGCTCAAACAGCTGTGGGATGATGTGGGAATAATGCTAACTGGTATTGCTAGCAATTGGTTCATCTGAGATCCTCTGCTGTTGGTTTAGGATCGATACAGACTCAACCAAATCCATGAGTCTACGTGGGTTTGGTAGATAGAGTGGCAATCTGCCATCTGGGTCCAAATCTAAATTTCAGTGCTTCAGAAGGGAATTAAATCCTAGATTTAGGCATGCCTGATTTCTGGAAACCTGGATCTAGATCATAAGAGCTATGTGACTTAGCACCTTTCCATCTGTCTCCCCTCCCATTGGCCTCCCATTGGAACTATTTCTCTGAAAGGAAAACAAGCATTCATCTCTTGAGCCGAGATGCGTGGCCTTCTTTTTTCCCCTTTGGATAAGCGGAAGAACTTTCTGGAGGGCATGTGATATCTTATTCCACCACAAATGCCTCACCTACTCTCCCCTCCTTATTAAGGAACAAGAAACCTGCCTTTAGGTGAAAGAAGAGCCAACATGAAAGATTGTTGCTTCCTGTAAATATCGGTTGCCTCTGACTCAAACCCTCAAACTATAAAATAGAAGGAAAGAAAGGAAGAAAGAAAGAAGGAGAGCAGTGAATGTATGAACCTTCAGGGGTGCGAGGCAGGAGGGGAGTTACTACAAAGCTCAGGGCTGCTTCTCTTCCCGGACTGTGTGTTGAACTCCTTTTAAGCACATGTGAGCTGCACAGTTTAGACCCTGGACCTGATTTTCTTAAGGCTTGGAAGAGTGATTCAGACTGGCCTTTTGGAGTTGAAACCAAATTCTTTTTTCTGGCTGCCATGATTCCTAAGTGGATTACAGAACCACAGAGCTGCTGCCCTACCGGACCAGCTGCGCCCAGGACTGCACTCAGAGAGTTCACTGTAGGAGACCAGCACAGCCATCAGTAGTGCCTCTTTCTCTGGGTTTGTCAGGGAGCTAGGAGTTGGCATGCTAGTGGATAGGCACCTGGAAATGCCATTCTTTCCCCTGAATTTAAAACAATAAATATGTGATGGTCGTTACTACAGTCAAGTGATGGGCTCACAGGAGACATTCTGAATATGCTCTTTGGGATCCCCAAGAAAATATGAAGTGGACCCATATTAGCTGTGTACAGTCGTGTCAGTGAACAGATGCTGAGAGACTCTCTAGAGAACGTCTCAGCAATGAACAACTTGGCAAGTCCTTTCTTCTCTGTTCTTAAGGCGCAGCAGAATTTTCTTGATCTGACTGTTGGAATGGGGAAGAGGGGGCAGGTGTTGTGTCTGAAGCATTGTCACTGGCCTTTTGGCAATAGGTTGGGTGCCTTGTGTCCTGAGATGCAAGATGAGCGTGACTGCTGTGTTGGCGGGCAGTGGAGTTCCATGTCTTTTGTTTTCCTGTGGCAAATACCAAGAATAGGTATAGGAAAATTTCTACATCTGATATGATGCAGGGTTCTTTGCTAAGGATGTAGAAGTGACATTTTGTCTGGACCACGGAGGTTTACAGCCATTAGAGATTTCTATCCTAGCTAGAGTAATTGCAGCTGCACCCATTCTCCTCTTTCTTGTCTGTGCCCTCCCTCTGCCGTCCTGCAGCCCAGGGTGCTTCAGCGTGAGGCCGTCCTCAGGGAGCTCTCTGATGGGCGAAGCCCAGCGCTGCTGTGTCAACCAAGCGGTCAGGTTTAACAAGCATCCTTGCAAAACCGGCTGGCGTTTGGCCCCTCTGTGATGAAACTATGCAGAGGATTGCAGATTTTCCATTGCTGTGGGAGGGTAATAAATCCACCTTCCAGCATGGCATTAATAGAGTGAGCTGTGGATACTGTTGGGTGAGATGATACCTCTGACTATTGACCTGATTATCGGAACAGCAAGGGCTACTTTGTTAAATGTCTAATCCCCAGTGGAAAATCCCCTGTGTCTTTAAAGGGATTTGTCCGTCTGGTTTACATGATGAACTACGGGAAGGCAGAAAGAGCTATGGGTTAGTGCCTCGCTGCTCCAGAAGAGTAAGAAACGGCTTTGAGCTGGGATTTCCTTTACAGTGTCAGACCCACCGGTCCCAGGAGCTTCCTACAAAACATTAGGTGCTGGCTAGCACTGAGTTTGTACCAGAGGTGCCGTTGTAGTCTCCTATTCGGAGCTTGTACAGACTCCTGGAGTCACCGATGGAGAACTTGTCGTAGTAGGCGTACGCTGCTTCCTGGCCATCTCTCATGTCTATTCGCAACTCGTAGCGCCCCTGGGAGGTGATCTTGTGGATGTTGTCCAAGCCTGGTGAGACAAGCAGCAAGACACCTGGTGAGACCCAGTGCCTGGATATGCTCTGCGGGCAAACTGAAAAAAGCTCTAGGCAAATGAAATAGCTATGGGAAATGAAAGTGAGGAGAGGAACCACAGCGCTTCTGGTTAGGTTTTTCTCTCTCCTGGCGCTATCTGAGACTGAACTCTGTCCCTCCTTTGTTTCACTGCTGCACCTGGGGGCAATCAGCTGTGGAGTCCTGGTGCTTGTCCTGTTACAAATCTGCCTTTGGCTTTGGATGATAAACTCCCTTAAAAGCCAGAGTGTGTTTACGCTGCAGAGCTGGCCTTGGTCACTCTCATTTTTTATGCTCCATTTTAGAGCTGTTTTATCACTCCGTTTTAGAGCTGCGCTGAGTCTCCCGTTACCCTTTTCCTGTTTTCTTTGGGCAATTGTCTTGCTCACTGAAGCCAGGTGAGGCCTATGAGCCATAGATACCACCGGTACAAACTCTAGTTATCCACGGAAAATGCCGAATTCTGGCCCACAAAGTCCCCCAGCGTACACCCTTCTCGGTTTGGGCCTCTCTTCGGAGGGATCTATGGCGTGATTCAGCTGTACAGGACATTCATGAGGCAAATGGAAACGGTCCAAGGAATTAGATAAAACAGTCAAATGCTGGGATTTTGCTGACATGAGGTTTAACCAGAGTCAGAATGAAAGGCTAATAATATATTTGCTTCACAAACTAGGCACCTGCTGGCCTTTGTAACTCGCTTTTATGTTGTGTATCCATGTATGACTGCTCTAATCCTAAGGGCAGGGAAAGAACGACAGAAGAAAAATGGTATTGAAGGAGAGAGAGAGCAAAGAGAAGACCAGTAAAAAGCAAGGAGCTGACAGCTGAGCTTCCAATTGAACGAGGCAGGGAAGGGAATTAAGCTGGCAGAGGTAAGGTGTGTGAGTCACTGTTTGCCAAGATCTTGGCTTTGACAGTGCCAGCGAAAGACAAAACAGTGAAGGTGTTACCCAGCCAGAATTCATCCTCCAAGTTTCCGAAGCCAACCCGGTAATCTGCCCACTTCCGAAAGAAATCCGTCAGCCCGTTCTGCCGCCTCTGGAATACCTGCAGGGGGTAGAAATGGAAGGGTGACGGCCTAGCTAGACCTTGGACTACCCAAAGTTAAGAGACTACCTTGCCCTCCCATAGTGCCTTTCAGGGGAGAAAATTGCAATGCCCTTTCGGTGAATGTTGATTGCAGCCGTGTGAGGCTAAGGATAGTCAATGCGCAGGTGGATAAACTGAAAAGATGTTAAATGCTGTCTGCAGCAAATCGGCGTTTTAATAGGACTAGAGTCAAGGAATCGGCCTTCAAACTTTTCGCTTGCCCCCAGACCCAGTGATTCTAGTTTTCTAGCATGTGATTCTGCATTTAGCCGGTTCCTTCTGTAAGCCCTCAGGTGTGATATCCAAAGGGATGCTTTGGAGCAGAGTGAGATGGAGGTAAAGCTGTTGGCTAAAAAAATCTGTGCTAGAAATCAGCTTTTGAATGACCCTGTTTTTTTTTTTTCTTTTGACTACACATCTACTGGAACTTTGTGTAGTACATGTGAGTGAGTGTTTGTGACACAAATAAAATCAAAGCACCCGAGCATTCTTTACTTAAGTTGCCAGTCCATCTAAATCAAGTCGAGCTGTGATTGTGCAATTCGACAGCAAAACGGGCATTTGCCTCTAAAATGCTCCTGTGCAGATCCAGTCCAGCTGACGCCTGACGCCCTCCTAATGCAGGCAGTAAATATGAATCATTCACTTTGAAAGCTATTAGCCATTAATTTCATTTATAGAACAATATATCAATTTCAGCTTCGGTCTCAGATTTTGCTCCCCAAAAGCATGGCAAATGTCAAATAAATCAAAGGACATTTCTCCAAGTGTAACTGTTAGTGCTGGAGCGTGGGCCGTTCCCTGTGGCATGGGAAGTGAAGTGTGCAGTACTAAGCCTGATCCTGTCTGGTGTGGTGCTTTGCTTTGCCTGGCGGTTTGGCAGGATGGGGCAGCCTGCTGCCTTCGTTCTCCGTGGGCACGCTTGGTGCCTTCGCTGGGCTCGCGGCCAGGCGTCTCACTGCTGCGTCTTCCTCATAACTCTCCAGTTAAGCAGGAGGGGGTTTGCTTAGTCCTTGATGGGGACAACGTTTAGGAAAACCATGCTGCTGCAGGAGGGAGTACTGGTTATCAAGGAACCATCGCTGGTCCCACTGCAGCGGTGCCTCTGAGATAAAGTTGGGGCCATGGTGCTGTTTGATGTAGTGTCTGTTACATGAGCCATGGACAGGACCGTGTTTCCTGGGGTGTTGCTTTTCAAGGAGAGGGCAGTGAAGAAGTGTGGTGGGTGGCCATGGCTGCGACGCTGGGAAGCAGCCGGGAGCCAGGGCTGAGGATGGGCAGATGCAACATGCTCTGCAGACCAGTCTGGGTGAGCACAACGCCACCCTGCCTCTCTAGGGACAACTTGTGCCCCCAGGAAAGATGTTGCTCAAATGATCAGGACAGAGACTGAGGACTGTGAGGGCAGCCAATACGCAAGGTTTGGTAACGTCTTCTTCCTTTTGTGCTCCTGCTCCTAGGCCAGCCACAGCAGGATGCAAAGTCGGAAGGGTAAAGTGATGCCTGGTATCCTAGATGTTTCACTCTCCCTGGTTCCTGTTGCTCCTTCTTGCCGTAAAATCGTTGCAGCTTGCAGGTGAATGGTTGCTGCATGATCCTGCCTCTCCCGCCTTCCCCCCCGGAGCAGTGGCATTGCCTTTGCCAAGGAAGGCGCCTTGGCATGATTTTTAAATCCCAGCAGGGAGGGAATAAAGGTGCAGGGGAAAGGCCTCATTTGTATTATAGCTCCGCGCAGCTACTTACGATCCACCCGCCTCCGTCTGTGGTCATGTCGCAGTACACCTGCACCCTCTGGCCAAGGTCACCGTTGATGGAGATGGTGTAGACCCCGCTCAGCGTGTCGCCGTTCATCAGGTGCTGGGCGCAGTCCTGAGGATTAGCAAAGACACGACCACCTGCAAAATTTAAGAAGCAAAGCTTAGGCAGGGGGACCCCCTTTCCATGTGTAGCAGAGGCCAGGCTCAGCCCCAGCTGGATGTAATCCAGGAAATGTCTAACTTGACTTCTGCATCCTGAGCTATTCTGGGAGGCAGTGGTAACTTTAAATCTTGGTCAAAGGCATCAGAGAATTTAATGAAGTATATGTGTTGCATTTTTAATGAATCTCTTAATTAATCACATATATTAATTAGTCTCTCATGTGTCCCTTATTGGAAAGGTGCATGATAACATCACCGTGAATGATGAGAAATGTCACTTCTTGGAAAATACTTTTGCATAGCCTCTGAAACCCTGGGGTTTAAGCTGTCATCAGCATATTTGGACAGCTGTGAAGTACCAAAACCTGTTCTCTTCTCAGTATCGCTAATTCTACATAAGGATGTGACTCCACTGACTCTAGGGGAATTCTCCTGATCCATGTCCTTGTAAATGATGGCAGAATTACGCTGGGCTGATTGTCGCCTGCAAGCTGAGCAGGAATTAGGCCCCTGTGGCACTGAACGCAAGAGATGTGTTAGACACAGGTAGCCTGGGCTTTGCAGCCACGTTCCAGTTGTTTTCTAATGAAGACACATTCTCATTTGGGAGTCTGGACTGCGGTTAGTCTTAGCCACGAGATCTCAGCGTGTTTCAGCAATATTGAGAGTCTGACTCTGGCTTCATTTTCTTTCTCATTTAGTGCAAGAGGGGGATTTGCATCTTTTTGTCACTGCTGGTGCATCTGGATGGTGGGTAAATGGGTGCTGTTTTGAGCAACGTCTGATAACGACCTATAAGGGTGGTCGCAATTACACCTTCAGAGGGTGCGAGTAGCAAGCCATGCGCATGCATCACAAATGTGAGACACCCGGTACGGTGGCAGGGCAAGGGTTCAGACAGCGTGTTATTTTCCTTTTGGGTATAGTCCCTGCCACTTTCTGAACCCTTGCAACGTGAAGACTCAATGATTGTCACTTTGTCCAAAGATTGAAGAGCGCCCTCCTCCCGCCCCCTTTTTTTTTTCCTGTCTCCATGGTCTGTAATGCAAGGTCTAGTGAGACGGTGTTTGCATTTTCTAGTGTTAAACAATGAAAACTACTTCAAAGACTGCCACTTCAGACTCCCCTGAGCTCTGCGGAGATTACTTGTTTCTTAATTTATATTCATATCTTTAAAAGCCAAGTAGACCTTGAAAGACATTTCCAACCACTATAAATTATAAATACTGTATCTATTTCTTCCTTTTGTCCCATCTGTATACAGTTCCCCAAGAATCTTATGCAAACATGAAACAAAGAGGCAGAACTATTAATATGTCAGAAAGAATGAAAGAACCGGGGGATGTGTACTGTGAACATAAGGAAGCAAAGCATTTTAAATTAAGCCTGGCTTTTTTTCCTCTTCAAACACTACTCCTCGTTCGCCTGCAAAGTGCCCAAATATGCTGTCAGAGTTAATTGAATCTGAGACCCCGTTTCCTAGCTGAGGGATCCTGGCTGCGGATTGCTTTGCTCTATTGGTTGTTCCTGGATGCTTCTGCTTCAGAGATATATGGGGTAGATGGGGAGAAACAGGTTTCCTGCTAATGTCTTTCTTCACCTTCGAAGCAAATTAAACTTGTGTTCAGATGGTGCGTCAGCTGGCAATAGCATCTTGAACGCTGTCAAGGTCCAAAATTTTTGTTTAATGGAAACAGTGCTCGCCTTGCCTGCCATCAGTAGGTTTCTGGTGTTTTATCCTAGCTGAGAATCCAGCCCTGTGCAATTTCATCCCTGACTCCAGAGCAGCTTTAAAGACTGCACACATTTTTCCATCACCTGCCTGAATTGTACTAGCTTTATGTGCCCTCATAAGAGGTGAGAACAAGAGGAAAGCCTAATCTATAGAAATATTAGAAAAGAGTCTTTTCCTTTATGTTGACATAAATAGTTTCTTTTATCTCTTAAAAGCAAGTGAAAAGACCTTTGCATGTAACCAGAATGGAGAAGTGTGTCCAGAGCAGTTCTGAATCAAACTCTGAGCACAGAGGGGAGGAACTTCAGTGCAGGGGAATGGACATCATCTTCAGGCTTCTTAGCGCTTTTGAAGTCCAGGAGAAATGTAATTGCATTCCGCTCTGAACAAAATGCACTCTGTCTAAGTGCCCTGGTCTTGCAAGGCTTTTCAAAGAGGAAACCATGCTTTCCATGGTTTCTAATGTGAATGGTTGCAAAGAATGGGGCAATAATGACATTTTCGTGCAACCTTCACTCTTGCAGGCTTAAGTGCTCTGTCTGGGAGGGTTACGGTGACTGTGGATACCAGCCATTTGATTCGTAAAGAAAACCATCCCCTTTGCCTTAGCGGATAACGACTTCTCTGCAATTGGCAGAGGGGGGAATGCTGCAATCAGACAGTCATAAAATCAGTGGCACCACAGTCATGCGGTCGTGCTGACTCCACTTTGCTGTGACTCTACTGATGTTGGTGGAAATGCATCTGCTTCACAGTTGTGAGAGATCAGACCCTGTCTACAAAGGAGGGACACCAGTTGGGTTGCTTCCCACTCAATACAAGAGCATTCCTGTCAGTAACAGTGGTCTGTGCTGCCAGCAGTGGAGCCAGGTCCACCTGGCTGAACGGAGGTGGCACAAGTCCTCACCTGTAGTGAAGGTGGTGGAGGTGAAGCCACTCCGCATGGCATTTTGGGCAGCCTGCAAGCGCACGGTGTACTCTGTCATCTCGGAAAGTCCCTCCAGGCGGATCCAGGTGTCTTCGGCATCCACAATCAGCTCCTGCACATGGGTCCCAGAAGGAGGTAGATACCAAGAGCAACAGATGAGAAAAGCGATGGGGAGCCTAAAGAGCAAGTAAGGAGGGAAGGGAACCAAACACTACTACAGCCCTTGGTGTCTGACTGAGGGCACTTATGTACACCAGCAAACTAAGCCCTCAGCCTTCCTCTTTGCAGATGGATGTCATCTGCAGTTCAGTGAGGGGGAGGGACTGGGATCATACTCTTTAAACATCAGCTGGAGGGAGGGCTGATGTGACAAGGCTAGGGAATATGGAGAGCTGCACCATTTGACAGTACTCCTGGGCCTTTGTATAATGCGGTAAGATGTTGAAAAGGCCCAAATTACTTAAGATGGACTTCAGACCAGTGCAGAAAGCCAGCATGAGAGCCATGAACACGTTTAGCCTTTTGGGGTGGTTTGGATGAGACAAAGATAGCTGGTTTGGACACGAGGCTGAATTCTCTTTCATAAAGATACAAATGTTTGCAGTCAGCGTGCTCTATTTACTGACTCTTTTGGGATCTAAACGCTCTCAATACAGGGCATGACAGATTGCCCAAGCATCAGAAAGAGCAGAGCTGGCCAAACCTGGTTGTTGGCCGGTTTTGGCTCTGTCAGTTCCTGTCATGTTAATTTTTCTGGTCTTCAGCCAATGCCACGTAGCATTATAGTGAACCCTTTCTGCAAAGCTGTTATCCTTTGGCCACTGTGAGCAAGTCACACTGGCAAAGGAAAAGAGACAATTTGCAGTGACGTATTTCTGATAGTTTGGAGTAGTTCTTCTAGACAGGCAGATATGGGTACACTCATTAAATAATCAAATATATTGTATTGCAGGATTAATTAGCTGTCTCTATCTATCTTCCTATTTGCAAGAAGGCCAAAAAGCATTGCTAGTCTCTCTGTTTGCTGGATAATTTTTGCCTGCCTCCACTTGCTTGTGTTTTCAAAGCTTCTGAATTTCCCCTGTTCCTTCAAACTTTCCAGGTGTACCCTCTTTGTCCAGACTTGCAGGTGTGCAAAAGATTTTTACCCTAAGCATTCTCTTCATGTTTTTTCAGTTCTTTATCTGAAGTAAATACTGCTTATGGAGAAAGTTGTGTCTGCTCTTCTGGTCTCCCTGGCTTAAGAAGCATTGTTCTTTTGCTTTGTTGGATTTTCCCTACTCATTTCTCCCACGATCATGTTTTTCCCCAACTTGATGAGCCTCGTTCTTTGAGAGGACTCACCTTACGGCTTCCATCAGTTGATCTGTAGGTCATGATGTAGTTCTCAATCTCTCCCATTGGAGGCATCCAGGACAGAAGGGCGCTCCGTCGAGTGACTTCGCTTGCGGTCAGATTTGTCGGAGGGTCCAGAACTGCAAGGGTGGAAGTGCAAATCCACACACATTACCACCCCAGTCTGATAAAAGCAGCTCCCCAGCTCAGTGAACTGGGATTCAACCTCACAACCCTGTGCTACTGCCAAAAGTTCAACCTTGCCCTCAGTATGCAGACAAGATCACCCATCTCCAGCTGGGAACAGAGTTCTGCAAACCCTCTAAAATGTTGCGCTCTACCTGCACTCTCTCTGAAAGGTAATGGCTCTGAAATGTGTGTAGAACGGGGTCCGTCAAGCTTCTTGGAAGCTAAATGGGTTCTAATACTCTTCTGGATATGGCTCGAGGCAAAAAAAAAAGACCTGGTCAAGGGTCTTCTCTTCTTAGGGAATCACATCTAGGGGAAATCAAAGAAAAGGATGGATGGATGTTGAAAGAACATTTCCTGTGAAAATGATGGCTTATGCTTGTTGTCATTATAATTCAGTTCTTGTGCCATGCCCAACACCATGCTTTTTGGGTGTCCTTTTGCTGCCTGGCTACATCTAAATCCCCATGTATGTAATGAGCTGTGATGGCTCAGCCTTTCTGCCTTCTTTTCCTCAGAAGGACAAATGACTACGGGCATGTAGCAGTTGGGAGTGGAGGACGTTATCGTACGTACGAGTTGTAAAGTTGGTACTGATGGTCTGGCTGGCGAAAGGCCCATTGGTGGCATACATGGTGACCGTGTAGGTGGTACTGGGCAGAAGGTTGGTCAGCTGGTACTCCTGGTTGACTCCATCCACCAGAATTGTTTCTCCTGCAACTGAAAGCCGAAGAAGATGGGTTAGGGTAGGTGTTTTGGCTGGTTCTCTGAAATGCGTCGAAGAATATGCCCTTATGATCAAACGCAGTTACATTGCTGATACACCATGAGCTGCTGCTTGGCAGCTGAGCTCTGGTGATCGTGTCTGGTCTGAAGCATGGTCTTGTCTCTTGTTTCTGGTGGAGGTAAGCTGAAATAAAGCCTCTGGCAAATCTCACAGCTTGCTGGCACAGAGAAACACAGAGATTTCTGTATACCTGTGTAGCGGGTGAGGACGATGACGTAGTTCTCCACATCCGATAGCGGCGGGTTCCACTGCAGCAAGGCCTCGGTGGGGGTGATGTTGGTGGCAGTGACACCCAAGGGGGCATCCATGGCTGCACAGGAAAGAGAAATTCTGCAAGTCAGAGGTGTGAAGAG